GGGGCTCCTGGCCATCCCCCTGTGCGCCCTGCGGGGCCGGGACGTCGAGAACATGAAGTGAGAGGGGTTTTGGGTGGAATTCAGGGGATTTTGGGTCATTTGGGGTCATTTTGGGTCACTTTGGGGTCATTATGGGGAGATATGGGTTGGTTATGGGGTGGTTATGGGGGGATTTGGGGTGGTTTTGGGGCTCCTGGCCATCCCCCTGTGCGCCCTGTGGGGCCAGGACGTCAAGAACATGAAGTGAGAACCCGTTTTGGGTGGAATTCCGGGCGTTTTGGGTCATTTTGGGGTCATTTTGTGTGAGATTTGGGTCAGTTATAGGGCGATATGGGGCAGTTTTGGGGGGATTTGGGGTGGTTTTGGGGCTCCTGGCCATCCCCCTGTGCGCCCTGCGGGGCCAGGACGTCGAGAACATGAAGTGAGAGGGGTTTTGGGTGGAATTCCGGGGGTTTTGGGTCATTTTGGGGTCATTATGTGTCAGTTACTGGGTGATTGGAGAAAGTTTTGGGTTATTTGGGGCAGTTTTGGGTTATTTGGGGCAGTTTTGGGTGATTTGGGGCAGTTTTGGGTGATTTGGGGCAGTTTTGGGTGATTTGGGGCAGTTTTGAGGCAGTTTTGGGTTACTTGGGGCAGTTTTGGGACAATTTGGGACAGTTTTGGGTTGAGGCAGTTTTGGGGAGATTTGGGGCAGTTTTGGGATGATTCGGAGCAGTTTTGAGGCAGTTTTGGGGTTACTTGGGGCAGTTTTGGGACGATTTGGGACAGTTTTGGGGAGATTTGGGGCAGTTTTGGGACGATTTGGGACAGTTTTGGGGAGATTTGGAGCAGTTTTGGGACGATTTGGAGCGGTTTTGGCTCGATTCCCCAAGCCCAGAACCACTCGTGTGTCTATCCGTGGGGCGCTGTGGGTCCCGCTATGGGGCTGAGCCCCCCAAGTGTGCCCCACAGAATCATCCGGGGGCTGATGCAGCACGTCAAGCGGCTCTACGGGATCCGCATGGAGGTCAGGGGGGCGCACAACTTCCCCCCACGGCAGCCCTACGTGGTGGTGAGCAACCACCAGAGCTCGCTGGACCTGCTGGGTACGGCTGCCCCACACATCCCTGCCCCATAGATCCCTGCCCCACACATCCCTGCCCCACACATGGATCCCCATGGAGCTCTGAGCTCACAGACTGAGCCAGCCCTACGTGGTGGTGAGCAACCACCAGAGCTCGCTGGACCTGCTGGGTACGGGGCTGCCCCATAGATCCCTGCCCCATAGAGCCCTGACCCATAGAGCCCTGACCCATAGAGCTCAGACCCATAGATCCCTGCCCCACACATCCCTGCTCCATAGAGCCCTGCCCCATAGATCCCTGCCCCATAGATCCCTGACCCATAGAGCCCTGACCCATAAAGCCCTGACCCATAGATCCCTATAGATCCCAGCCCCATAGAGCCCTGCCCCATAAATCCCTGCCCCATATATCCCTTCCCCATAGATCCCCATAGATCCCTGCCCCATAGATTCCCATAGATCCCTGCCCCATAGATCCCCATAGATCCCAGCCCCATAGATCCGTGTTCCCCCCATCTCTCCCCTGTATATCCCTGCCCCATAGATCCCCGCCCCACACATCCCTGCCCCATAGATCCCTATAGATCCCTGCCCCATAGATCCCTGCCCCATAGATCCCCGCCCCACACATCCCTGCCCCATAGATCCTCGATCTCACAGGTGCCTGACCCCACAGATCCCCAACCAACGGCTGCCCCACAGAACCCCAAACTCCCCTCAGCCCCAGACGCGCCCCACACCCCCCAGACGCGCCCCACTGGTGCCCCACAGGGATGATGGAGGTGCTCCCCGACCGCTGCGTCCCCATCGCCAAGCGGGAGCTGCTCTACATGGGCGCCGTGGGCGTCGTCTGCTGGCTCGGGGGCATCATCTTCATCGACCGCAAGCGCACGCACGACGCCATCAGCGTCATGGCCGAGGCCGCCCACACCATGCTCAGCCAGGACGTGAGTGGGGCTGGCTTATGGGGCAGTTATGGGGTGGTTATGGGGCGCTATGGGGCGCTACAGGGTGGTTTTGGGGTGCCATGGGGTGGTTTTGGGGTGGTTACGGGGCGCTATAGGGTGGTTTTGGGGCGCTATGGGGTGGTTATGGGGCGCTATGGGGCAGCCACGTGTCAGGCAGCGCTCCACCCTTGCTGCCACCGCTGTGGGGCAGCCCCAGGGGCGCTATGGGGCAGCCCCACATCTCTCTGTGCCCCACAGGTGTGGGTGTTGATGCTATGGG